TAGTGATTATTTTCTTTGTGGTGTTCGTGGATGTTGGCATAATGCCGAACCACTTATATTGTTGTGTTCTCTATGTTTTTTGTTGTTATTTAATATTTTTGTGAAGATAAATTTAGATGATGAAAAATTTGAATAGTATACATACTATTTACATATACAAAGAATGATAATTTCGTACTTTAGATTATTTTTGTTATAAATTTTTGATAAAGTGAGATGAAATATGTCCTGATTCTTAACAAATAATATTAGAGCCCAAATGATTCTATGGTGCATTTGAAGGTTCTTTTGCATGAGATAAAATGTTAACAACAAAGTCTAAATTGAGATGAGAGGTTTGTATCTAACAAGGGGTGTCAGCAATGAAGGAGAGAATGAAGATTAAATAAACCAAACGATGTGGTGACAATCATCTTTTAAATCGGTTTTGATGCTATTGTTTGAGGTGAAGTTAACTTGATGGAAGCATCATGTATGGCTATATCATGCAAAACTCATGTTAGTGATTCATTACAGTTGACGTTCGATCTTATTAGTCATGAATAAATGATGAGTTTAAGTTATGTGTGTTCATCTCGAATTGCATCTGTGAAAGTTTATGACAAGATGATTTATTAAACAAGTATTCAATTGTTTCATAAAAAAAAATGTTTGCATTTCGTGTCTTTAGACAATTTTTGGATTTGGTAGGAAAACTACCAATTATACACTAAGTCCATAATTTGTTCAGAGAAATGTGAGAGAAAAATTCAGGATGAATTGTGTTGTAAAAAATACATTGTCAGTAGAATACTAGTATAATACAATGGTTATAGAATAGAAGGTTTTTCTTTGATTAGAACTAAAATATTTCATGTTAATTTTACTCTTGATGATTTTTTGTATGTGATAAAGTGGAAGCTACTTATTTCTTGCTATGTTATTAGTTGGTCTATTATCTAATGTAAGGTTTATTGAAACTCCAATGATTAGTTTGAGTCTTTATGAACATCATTATGATTTCTTGGTTCAAGCAATGATGGAATACTTGATAGTAAAAAGGATAAAACTCGTGAGTACACGTTAGGTGTTAAAAAGTACAATGTTAAATCCTTCGGTAGGGTAGTCAAAGAGTTGTTTGCTTGGTTAGACTAACAAAAAGGTGGAGCACATGACAATGTGTGGTAGTGAGGAATTTCTATATATATATATATTATGATAAACAAATCTTTTGATGGTAAAAATTTTCAAATCAAGATAGAAATTATTAAGAAATGATCGAAAAATTCTAGTAAATGTGAAACATGTATTTTTTAACTTGCACAACAATACCACCGTTTGCTACAAAACCACCGAAAAGTTAAAAAGATAGAATATTTAAAATTTTATGAAAAATTCGGCATAGTAACTTTTGACATATGCATCACGTGCTACAGTACCATCTTACTATTATAACCATAGATTATTATAGTGATAGTACGTTGTTACAAAGAAACGTGAAAAATTTTACCTCTAAATAAGCTGTAGGTGCATAAGCTTAAATATGCTTTGGGTGCATGAAAATGATTTAAATAGCTTAGTGAAAGCACCAAAAAAAGTGTCAAAAAAAGGTGTGTCATGTAATTTAAGAGTGATAATATATTTTGGGGTTTGTAGTGTCTATTTTAAGATAATAAGAAACACTTGTATAATCCCAGAGAGTGAATGTTGAAATGGTACATGTTTGAGGTTAATGTAGTCATTGTAATCTCCTTTGATAGTGATTATTTTCTTTGTAGTGTTTATGAATGTAGACATAATGTCAAACCACATATATTGTTAGTGTTCTTTATGTTCTCTGGCGCTGTTTAATATTTCTAGGAAAGTAGATTTAGATGATGAAAAATTTGTCACTATTCATATATATGATATTATTCACATATACAAAAATAATGGTTCCGCACTTTAAATTTTTCTCGTTATAAATAGCATCAAACTATACTGATTCCTGACAAAGTGGAATCGGAGCATGCCTTGATTCTTAACAAAAATGATAGCAGGGGAAATTACATGTCCATCAAAGTTAGGAAATTCTAAACAGAAAAATTATTTGAACAAAAAGCAAGGTGGAAGAAGAAATTACCTGTCTTTACGTGCGGAGGCAGGCTATTGGCATTTTCCTACAAGCACAGAACCCAACGATCCACCAATATTCCTAGACGGAAAAGGCTATATGAAAGCAAATTTCATTCAAATGAAATACCAAATGAAAAACAAAAGGGTAGGGAGAAAGAAACAAAGAGCAATGTATAAAGGATGAAATATTACCTGCACTCGCTCAACATCAACCTGAACCAGCAAACCCAACATTTTGGTTCTGATTCTAGGACCCTATGATATTCTTGTGACACATTCCTGCTACCAGCTTCCCTTGCCACAGGGATCAAGTTGGATTGAAATAAGATCCTATCAGATTTGAAAATCCTAGTTCACAAAGATCAACCATCTGGTTCCTTCCTTTTCTTGACAGTCTTCCTGCTCACCTAGCAATTCTCTGGCAGATCCAACTTGCGGAGCAGCTTTGGGCTGGAATGCTGCTGGGCTTCGAATTGTCAATCGAATGAAACCCAAATGACTTTTCGTAAACAATATTTAGGCACTTACGGGCCAGTTATGATAAAACAAATTGACATCAAAATAATGAATAGGAAACAGGAAGAAACCTACGAATCTCCTGTCCATACAAGCACTCAAAGTTTTGGGATAATGACTCTGCCAACTCAACCAAATCTGGCTGATCAGTAAAATCTGTACGAACATTACTCCAAAACTGCCAAGCGAAAGCAACAATTATCCAAAAACAAAGATATGAAAGAGATAATAGCACGATAGTGGCATGCATCAAAGCATTGAAACCATGAGACATGCAAAGCTCAAGGCTGACGATCAAAAGAAAAGATAATCCAGGCATGTGAGCAAGCAACTATAGTATCTTGAAAACAATAGTTAAGAGTGTGCTAAAGTCCTAAGTTTTATAAATCTTTCCAACACATAAGGCCATGCAAAAGGGTGGAAAATAAAACTCAAAAACCACAATTGAGAGAAATTTCTCTCATGCAAACACATTTAACCTATATTTATTGATGCATAAAAGTCTAAAACCTCCAATTTCGCCTCAATCTTGAAGAACAATAACCCTTATCAAATTATTATTTTCTTACCTAAAAGGCTAAAAGCATTGGCGGATCTATGTTATTAAGTCTAGTGTCTATGGACATTCCTAAGATTAAAAAAAAAAAAAAAGAAAATTTGAATGAAAAATTTTTCTTAAATATCTTAAAATTTTTATTTGGACATCCTTTCTCTCGACAGAATTTATAAATTGATACTATTAGTAATTTCTTTTTATTGAATGATTTATTAGTTACATAAATTGAGAAGGATATATTTAATAATATTAATAATATGACGTAATTATATTTTTTTAATATATGAGAATTAGTCATGAATAATTGCAATAATATAATAATATATTATTTAAAATTTTTGTTTATAATTATATATAAAAATTATTTTAATTACATAATATTCTATTTGAATTTATTTATTTATTTGTAGTAAATGAAAAAAAATAGAAAACTATGAACAAATAATTGCATCACAAAAAGAAAAAAGTTGAAATTGACTTTTCATTTTTTTTTTTTTGTAATTAGGTTAAAAATATCTTCTAACATTATTTGAGCTTTTTTTTTTGGAAAATTTTAAAAATAAAATTTCTCATATCAGTTTAATACATTCAAGATCTTGGAAATGCTACTAATAAGTATTGAACTTTGATTGAAAAAAAAATATTTTTATCAATTAAACTTTCATTGTAGTTTTTCATTTGTATGAAACAAAATGAAATTATTGAAAAAAAAAGAAAAAGAAAAAAACAAACTCAAAAGAAGGGACAGAAGCATATGGCTAAGGCCCATGATATCCTCGTGTCTTCTCAATAATAGCAACTCAAATTTTGGTGCACCGACACTAATTTGCCATGTGAAAGGTTTTACAACCAAAATTTTGTTTATAATTTATTTATTTATTTATTTTTTTGAAAATGGATAATGTAATCTTTACAAATGAATAACAAAAAATTATGCCCCAAATTATTAGGTTTTTAAAGTTGCTAAGAATTGAAGTGTGAAATAAAATTTTAAATAATAATTATTTCGGATAATTGCACCTAATTGATAAAGAAAATAATTATTTTTTCGTTAATTAAGATTTGATATGAAGCACTCCTATAATAAAATCTTAAATATATCATTTTTTTCATAAAAGAAATTATAATTTAAAAATAAAAATATTACAAATGTTGGTATTAAAATTTTAGATTTATTGAATATTATTTTTTAAAAATAATTATAAAAAATAAATAAATTAAATTTCAGATTCATTAAATTAATATAAAAGAGTGTATATTTAATATCCTCCAATGTAAAAATTAAATTTAAAAATTTTTAAAAAACCTTGATTGTATTAAAAAAAATTTGTCTCCATACGATAAATTTTATTTTCAAAATAAAATCTCAAAAAAAAAAAAGGAATAATATTTCATTAGTTTGGCATTTAAACAAATTAGATTAGTTGTTCTAATCACCTACACCACATTATAAAAGAAAAGAAAAGGGAAAAACTCATTTAATGTTTCAATTTTTTAAGTTAATCATATGACAATGGCTTAATTTCTTAAAATAATTAGGCATGCAAATGACATACCACTTTTATGAAAAATATATATATATATTTTATTTCCTCTTTAAATAAATCCCAAATTAATGGAGATAACTGATGAAGCATCGTTTCAAAATTTCATTTTCTGGTGTTGGAGCGTCAAGTTCAAAAAAATTACTATAAAAAAAATTTCCATGTATATAATTTTTTTTAATTAAAAGGAAATTACTTAAATCGAACAGTGGCATTTTCGTTATTTAAAGCAAGACCAAGAGTATTTACAAAATAAAAATTGATTTCAACCGCGAGAGAGAGAGAAAGAGAAAGGTCGTCTCACATGCAATGAACCCGTGCCTGCCGGCCCCGGTCGGATTTTCTTCCCAAAATAGACTAAAACCGGTGTCGTTTTAGATCAGTCTTTGTCTTTTTTTTCCTAATTTTTTTTCTTGATATATATGTAAATATATAAGTCTCTCCATTTTCACTGGAGAGTCCTAACGCCAGCCCACAGCATTCGTCGATCACTTCGCTCTCTTTCTCTTTGGTACTCTCTCTCTCTGTCTTTTTTTTTTTTTTAATTTTGAGTTCTGTTTTGTTTAATTTAATTTTCGAACAAAATTATGAATCGACGACACATTTCTCGGTGAGATCTTTTTTTTTTTTTTTTAACAATTTTTGCTTTAGTTTCATTTTCTTTTCTTTTTTTAATATAAATTTTCTGTAACGACATTTTCCACGTCTAGATCTCTCTGTTTGCTTTGATTTTTATTATGCTTTTTTAAAATATTATTTTGTTGTGGAAATTTCATAATTTGTGCTAATCCGTGGATTTTGATCTGTATGTAAACAAATTAATGGAGATTTACTTAGATTTGTCTGTTTTTTTTTATTATATCTGCAATGTGAAGAATTTCGGTGCAAATATATGTATTAATTGTTTAAATTAAATAATTTTTGGTGAAACGATGCTAAATTTGGTTGAATATTAGTGAAATGTTTTCGGATTTTGGTGATGATTTGGTGTTCAATTTGTATAAAATGGTAATTTGAAGTGGAAGTAGGCAGTTGGCTGGCTCATTATGGCTGAATTTGTGAAGTTTGGGTTAAAAGTGTTGGTAGTTAGGCCGTACAGTAGGGCATTATAGGAACAAGTTTTAAAACTGAGGTGAAATTTGTAGAATGAAAGATGCCAAAGCATTGAAACTATGATAATTGTATAAACATTTTAGAGTGCCTGGCTTAGAGTTGCTTTGTTTGCTGCGGCAATGTGAGAAAGTGAATGATGGGGTAATCATTGACTAAGAAAAAAATCATGGTTTTAGTGTTTTCGGCAATGTAGTTCTCTAAGCCAAGCAATTAATTTAATTTCATTGTCAGTTTGTTGGTAAGGTTGTACATAACTGATCACTGTCATAGCAGAATATGTGGATGCTTATCTATTCTTTCCTTTTGGTTTCAGACTTTAATTTCTATGATGTCGGGGAATGCTTTAAGAGATCTCAATACTTTACCTATGTCTGAGAGGAAGAATGACAGCTCTAGTAAAGGGAATTTTACTAAGCCTTGCAATGGAAACACAATTGAAAATGCTGAAGAGCAGCAGAAGAAAAGCCCTGCCTCCATTCATATAAATGGAGGTGAAACTGTAAATGTTGGAGTAGAGGTAGCTAACTCAGAAGTAGAATACATTGAATCTGAGAACTTGAGTGATCTAGAAGATGTTGATTCATGTCTTGAGGTAAAATTTTCTATTTTCTTATTCTTAGACTTCATGTTCCGATACTTGGTGATCTACCGTTTACTAATATGCATACTTACCTACCTCAGAAGCTCTTCCCTGGACTTGACTCTAAAGATTGGGTTCTGGTTGTTGAAACACTCAATAATGTTCGCCGATTATCAATATTCCATAGGGAAGCAATGCATAGAATGCTGTAAGTCTCAAATTCTTACATGATTATCCGACTGGAAATACTGGAGGATGGGGTTTTAATCTGATTTTCCATCTGTTAAATCAGTTACTTTTGTCTTGGATTTAATTTGACTACTGTATTTCTTTCCTTGATCTAATGTGCAGGGGTGATTTAATCCCTCTTGTAGTTAAGTCTTTGAAGAATCCAAGAAGTGCTGTTTGTAAAACTGCAATTATGACATCAGCAGACATTTTCAGTGCATATAACGATGATTTGATTGAATTTTTGGATCCCCTGGTACTTTCACGATCACTATGATTTACTGCTACTTTTGTCTGAGTGCTTGCGTTTATTTTTGGATGGTACAGTGCCATCTTTGTTATTTTTCTATTTTGTGAATGTTTCTTCATCTTGAGATACTAGTGAACGAATTCTGGCTTTTCTGATTTGTTCAAATATTATTGATACAGCTTGTACAGCTTCTTCTTAAGTCTTCACAAGACAAAAGATTTGTATGTGAGGCAGCTGAGAGAGCTTTAGAGGCCATGACTGCTTCAGTTTCCCCTATGTCATTGTTGCCCAAGTTGCAACCCTATCTTAAGAACAGAAATCCACGAATTCGAGCAAAGGCATCAATGTGCTTTAGTCGTAGTGTTCCACGACTGGTAGGCAAATGATATCTGATATGGTTATTGCTATTTTATTTGTTCCAAAAAGGGGTTCAAGCGATTGCACTGTTTTATAAGATTTGACATATAATGTGTCAAATAGTTTCCTTTATCTTCTTGGCTAGTAAACATTTTTCCTTGTATGAAAAAATTTCTTTCTTCACTCTTCTATTAATTTAATGCTGTCTTTTTTATTTTGACAGGGTGTTGAAGGAATTAAAGAATATGGAATGGACAAATTGATACAAGTAGCTGCATCCCATCTTAGTGACCAGCTCCCAGAGTCCCGAGAGGCTGCTCGAACCCTTCTTTTAGAGCTGCAAACTGTATATGAGAAATCCCATGACCTCTCAACAACAATATCTTCAGAGCATCCAGAGATGAGCTCTTGGGAGAACTTTTGTCAGTCAAAACTCTCTCCTATAAGTGCCCAAGCAGTGCTTCGTGTCACAAACATTGATCGGGAAGGTCTCGTTATTGGTTCATAACAGTAAGTTTTATATAGAATCATATATGAGTTTGTAGCAAGTAATGTCTTTTTTATTTTACTCACATATATGAGCTTTAGTGAGCAGAGTCTACAGCCACCTCTCATTGCTTTGGTTTTGGTTTTGGTTTTGGTTTGATATTTTCTCCTTGTAAATCCTCATGAATCGTTGAGATGTCTTCGATCTTGATTAAGAAATTAGTCGGATTGGAATTGTACGGATGATATTCTTTGCATATGGTTCCCTGTCGCATCTTCCTCGTTTATGTCATGGGTTGCAAAAATAGTATAAAGTTGAGCCTTTTTGCTTTAATCTCATAGCACAACGTTCTACCAGAAATGTTACATGATAATATATTTTACGATGACATTGCACTCGCAGATCTAAAAGACTCAATAATGTCAATTATTGAGTGCTCATCTAAGAGTTGGATTCTAGCTTAGATGTCTTAATCACATGTTAACATCTTTTTTTTTTTTAATTTTTAAAATTTATTGTCACCTTTTGGCGGCTAATGTAGAAGGTTTCAATAAAAAGCCGTGTTTATTGCCCCCCTGTCAATTTCTCAGCTGCTGGCTATGGCTTTTGGGTAGATCATATTAAATACACATAAAGCATAAAAATTGATATGTCATAATCACTATTTTAGATATGAAATATATATTTTTTGACTTTTTATCAAATTCATATTTAATTTTTATTAAAATTTTAAATTTCATCATTTTTATATATATTTTTTTATCATTTTTATATTTTATTATCACGTCAGTATTTAAAATTATTAAGTTTGTCGGTAGCTAATGCTATAGTGGGAAAAGTAGAGAAAATTTTTAGTACAACTTTTTATACCCAACATTTTCTCAAATTTCTAGTAAGGTTCAATGGAAGGATAAGATATGGTACTTAATTTGGGATTTATATATAAAAATATAGTTATTATTATAAAAGTTATTTCTCAATCAGTGAGATGAGCTGTCATTGAACAGTCCATACTCCAACCTGGTTGGTGACCAACCAACTTTAACATGTGGATTAATTTCAACAATCTATTTCATAAAAGAACTAATAATAAGTAAATTTAGAGAAGCAATTAATCTCTCTAATCCAAAGCTCCCACCATTACACCAGTATCAGTTTGTGGTGCACTCAAGCAAAGATTTATGATTTTTTTTTATACTTAAGGTTCTAAAAAATTAAATTTTAATCACTGAAATTAAAATTTTAATATTTTATTAATTTATTATATTATTGTTGACTAATCATCTCTTTTAAAAACCTGTTTGGTAGTCATAGAAAATTTTTATCCGTATCTATATGATTTAATGTCAAAATGGTTTTTCAACGAGATAGTACAAATTAAAAAAAAAAACTGAAATAAAGTCTAAAAAATGTGTAATACCCAAAATTTTTTTTTTATGTTTAATTATAAGTTTTTAAGTTATATTTAATATACAAGATTGTGATATGATAAGATAAAATAATATTATGAATATGATTGAATTAAATAATATTATTTTATTTTATATTTAATCTATGTAAGAATTAAGATAAGATAATTTATTTATTGATCAAATTATTTTTTTTAATTTATATAATTTAAATTATTAATGTAATTTTTAAACGTATAATAAAACATATAAATTTAATATCATAAATTAAAAATAATTTTTTTACTTTAAAAAGATTGAATCATTTTATATTAAAAAAATAATAATATTTCTTATAATTTTATCTATTTTAATTAGATATAAATTAAATATAATATAAAATAATTATCATATTATGTTATATATTATCTTATAGATTAAATATAATCTTAATACGTTGAAAACAGTCCTACCGGACTCTTTTAACTTGAGACGGAGTAATCCAAAAATATAGTGTAAGACAGGACAAAAACAATTTGGCTTGTTACTTGGACAGAACATTTATGCTTTCTGAATTGTGGAGCATCTTCTAAGTGAAGTCTGCCTGAATTCTGATTTAAAAATATATGGCATGGTCTCTTCACTTGGAGGGAGCCTAAAAAAAATGAAGTGGTCAAAGTACGCAAAGCCAACTAAAGATTAAAAAAGGAGTGAAATGAAAGAGAACTGATAGAAAAGACAAAGAACAAAAGTTTAAATCATCAATCTTCATATGATTTTGTCTCCACCTGTAAATCTTGGGTCTTTTCCACCAATTCCAACACCAAAATTTACTAGTCCACATTAAATAATTGATTCATCATTTCATTCACCTGCTTATAGTGGCTTTAAAAACAAAAAAGCAGCTCATCAGATCACACCACAGTTTCCATTCCCTTTGAACAAACATCTTATCATCTGTCATTTCGTTCATGTTTCAGGTTATTATCATCTTGTGATGTATGCGCTAAGAGGTAAAAATTCTGCCATACCCTCTATGGGGTGAAAATGAAGGGGGTTTAGACAAGATAGTGATGAACAGTAAAGTTCTGGACGCAGCAATACAGATAATGGTAATGGCTATTGCCATAGTTGTGATTCAGCTATTTCTAGGTATTGGAATGCTGGCGTTCATACTAGGAAGAGCCTTCAGGAGAGGAATTGGAAACCCTGGAAGCTTTGACAGCAGCTGTCCGGGGATGATGTACAGAAGCTTCCATGTTATGATTACATAGGGAAAAGACAAAGGTTGTCCAGTGGCTTGTGCTGTCTGCTAGGGAAACTTCAAGATTAGTCAAAAGTGCATGCTACAACCGCTACGCAGGTAGGGTAGGGAAAAATATCGGAACAACTAGAGTAGATGCAAGAAAGCTCCCGATTCAACCGATCATACGTTGTGTCTGCTTTTTACCTCTCCAATGGCATGTACAGACTCAGTAAAAATATCTATGACATCGCCATGCAATCAAGGGAATATAAAAATGAGTTAATATCTTAAATAATCTTTAAATTATAATAAAATATTTAATACAATATTTAAAATATTTAATTGACATAATTTTTATTTATAATATAATTAATTTTAAATAATGATACATGAAAAAAAAATGTTTATATATTATATCAATTAATTAATTTATAATTTAAATTTAAAATTCAAATATATAATACCAACTATCTATTAAAATTGACACTTAAAAATTATTAATTTAAAAAAACTTAAATGTGTAATATCATTTCTGATAAAGTATGTAACAAAATAAGAAAATTTTTAAAGGCAAATTTAAAACTTAAAAAAAAAAAACCATTTCATTATAATTTAAAACTCATTCGTAACGGTAACACCACACGGAAAACTACCTTTGCCACCAAAGCTAGAACTCCATTTTATTACCGGAGCCTCGTCAAAGATCGAACTCGACTTGGTGTAACTTGATCAATTGGCAACTTGCTTTGGTAACTGTATTGGTGGTAAAGAGGGCTTTGGAGAAGCAAGAAATTTCATGAATTAAAAGGAATTTTTCTTTGCAGTTCCGTTTTTTTTTTTTCAAAGGCAGAAATTTTTTATACTAGAAGCAAACTAGTTTTCCGACATTCAGCAAGAAACTTTCTTCCTTCACAAGTTTGCCATTTACAAAGTTGCAATTACAGCATTTAAAATAAATAAAAATTAGGAAAAAAAAAAGGGAGAGAAAAGAGAGAAAGCAGCAGGGTGTCAAAAGGGAACAATGGAGGTATACTTTTTTAACTTTTAAAGGTTACCTTTTAACATAACATTCAACAATGGCAATCCATGGAATTGTTCACTCAGAAACTTCTAATTCAATATCACTGCGTTTCAAAAAATCATTTTGAAATCAATCCCAAAAATGCAATAAAACATAGAAAAACAGATGAGATTTTATGTTTGCATATCTCTACCTATTCCTGATTATAGGAACAAAATTTCTAGCACACGAAAACAGAGCAGTTAGATCCTTACTTCAATGCCTTCCTTCAACAAGTGTCCTTTTACAGATTGAATGGGCACCTAAAACCCAAAGAATCAATGAATTGCAATCAGAATTTAAATTAATGGATCCTTGCATGGTGCTGAAAAAGAGGAAATAATTTTTTTTTCCTTATTTCATCAAGCTGGGAAAACTGAAATTCATGAAAGTACTAAATAATTACCTCCTTACGATGGAAAATGCCAGCAGCAAGTGCTGCTGATGCATTTGTTTGCATGAATACTTCCAAGAAGTGTTCAACGGCACCAGCACCACTACTTGCAATTACAGGGATGCTGACAGCTTCGGATATCAGCTTTATTAAATCTATATCAAATCCTTTTCCTTGACCTGCAAAGTCAGTAAGTAGGCATTAATACAAACAAAAGGAAAAATCAGGATTTAGGAATAAACCTAATATTCTGGAATGTTTAACAATAAAATCACAACTATATAATATTACATCAACTGTCATTTTGAAGCCCATGGGCATGCTCGTTAATGTTAGATAGAAACTACAATTTTGATGACAATTTATTTAGCAGAAAAAACTAGCATACTCTGGATAGGTAATTCTTAATAGCAATTAACCATAGGTTGTAAATGTAAAAGAGACTCTTGATGTAATATAAAAAAAAAAAAGAAAGAAGCAATTGCATGAAATGGTAATGTCATACAGGAAACAATTACTTATAAGGGGGAATTGTTTGAGAGACAAGAAAGTTGTTCATACCATCACAATCGATGCAGTTCAATAGTATTTCTCCAGCTCCCAGTTCTTCAACTACTTTTGCAAGCTCATAAGCTCCGATTGGTCGACCTTCTCTTCCACCATTAACCTTAGGAATAAGATAAAGACTTCAAAAAATAAGCAGCAAAACAATGATCATGTAATCATGTATATGCATTATTTATAAATATTTTTGGTCAACCTTCTCCAATTGGTTGTGATTAACATTTGTACATAGGAATTAAGTTTTTGATAGGTTTTTTCGGTTTTATGTGAGGTATTTGCTTGCTTTGTATATTATCTAATTTTATGATAGGTTTAAGGCATACCACCAGTTTTAAAAAGTTTATCTCGATAAATGCTATATGAATGATCATGCAAAAGGCAGAGAGCAAAGAAGCCTACCGTGCACTGATACCAAGCATATTCTTCTCCATTTGGACCTGACACCAAAAAGGCATGTTCTCATTAGCAATCCTTGAAAAATTTTTAAAACTATAAAATTTCTTGAAACATGTCTTTAGAAATTTTCTCTATCTTCCATCCACACACAGCAGGATTTTCCGTGGACTCAATTTAAATTTCACATGGATGGTAAATCCAAAAACAGTAAAATCTACTTTACCTGGTTTTGTAGCCCTTATTGTCTTGAACTGTACATCATTCGGACTTTTAAGGTACACTCTACGAGGATCAATGCTTACAACTACTGCCTGTCAAATAAACATTCAATCAACTCAATAAATTCAATCTTTGATACTGCAAATATAAACAAGCAAGTAGCCAACATGATAAATTGAAAATTGACTTACAACAAGTAACAGCAAAAATTAGCAACAAAATTGACACCAGTTGTATGGGTAAAACTCATGATCTATTGCTCCAAAGGAAAAAAAGTATTGAATATTACCAAGCACGGAACACTTTCCTCACCAGTTGCATATGCTTGTGATGAAGAAAAAGTCTTCCACCTTCATCTGTTTTTTCTAACTTGGATGTTACTAAATTAAAATATAAACCAAAACGATAGAAATTTATTATACAGGCCCAACCAAATATGTATCATTTTAAAATTTCTCATCCAACCATCTACAATTTGTAAGTTCCTTTTGTTCTTTAACATTTATTTTTCCTCTAAGAAATTTATTTCTGTGGATCAGCTAGAACCCAAAGTATGCATAATCAGCTAGAACCCAAAGCATGCATACAGTTCTGAAGATTACAAATATACATGGATATATATTAGTACATGCATCATCACATCAGAAACAAGAATGGGAATCACCTGATTTCCATAAACTCTAGAAATTTGTTCTAAGCTGCTCTTTCCTGTCTTTACCTAAAAGAAGCATTTACTGAACTATAAGTAGCGATACATATATATGTATAACCATCTTAACTCCACAAGTTACAAGTTTTAATGAGGTGAAATTGCATACTTTGGTTTTTATATATTCTTCAGCCGCGTAAACTGCATCACTTCCAATGGAAATTTTATCAGCCCCAGACCTAAAATACTCTGAAGCAACTTCCAAACTAGAATAGTGCCTGAAAGATGTATATCAAAAATAAATTTCTATACATAATCTGCTCGTTAATTACACAATGATCACTCAAAACTGCAGTATCAGGGAATGTCTAATAAATCACTTGAACAAAAATTAAGTCTTAATCGTAAAATAAATGGAAACTAGATCATAGTAAAAAAGAGGCACACCTGCCATTTGCATCTGTAAAATCTCGTATACCACCTCCAACTGTTAGTGGGACAAAAACATTTTCTGAAGTGCGTCTTAATACCTGCCAAGCACAGAAATTAATACATACATATAAAGATGCAAACATAGAAACACTAAATAATAAATTAAAATGCTATGTAAAAATATATTCATAATTAAATTAAAAAAAAAACCTGCAACATTGGTAAATCGCCTAATGGGAAGTCACGGAAACCAGTAATGTTCAAAAAACTGACCTGAAATTTAAAGTATGAAAGATATCAATAATTTAAGGTGTCAAAGAAACTCTGGAGAGGCTAAATGATAGCATATTGCAATATAAACATAAAACGCCTCAAAGCTATAAGCATACCTCATCAGCCCCATCTTTGTAATATTGTCCGGCAAGCTCTACTGGCTTGCCAAGGTTTCTCACCTATAAAAGTTTCTGATGAGTTAAAACAGCATCAATGCAAGTAAGTTCTCTAGATCAAATATAACACAGGAGGTAAAGAAAAAAAAAGCAAGTCTTACATCGTAATTCAACTCTTATATCCTATCATATCTTAGATCACATCCCACTTTTGTCATGTATGGTAATTATGATACATTGATATGCAAAATTAAAATTTGATTTAGGCATCTACCAATCTAAAACTAAAATCAAAGAGATCATGGAATTAGAGCAATGAATGACCTCCTCTGGCTTACCTCATTCTCTTTTGTGTGTTCTCTTACATCATACTGGTCCCCTTTGGTTACAACAAGATCCCCTTTATCATTCGTCCTAACATCAAGACAAGCAATCACCTGAATGGAAGTAATATCACTCAGCATAGAGCCATATGAACCACAAAATCAAACAGAACATGTCAAAGTACTCATTAGAGCTATGTAATTAAAAACTGAAAGAAAGGTAGGTGCACAGAAAATAAAACCAGGAATAACATGCAAAATAATTCAAGTTTGAGAAACTATTACCCTCTTAGCAAGTTTTGAAGCCTTCCCCTGAGTAGGCTTCTGTAGTAAAGCGAATCATTCAGATCATTAGATGGATGAAAATAAAAGTTGATAAAAGTTACAAGATGAATTAAATTCAAGGATACAAAGACCACCTTTGTCCCCTGTGACTTTGGATGTAGGAACCTTCTCAATACAGAAAGACCAACATCTGAAACAATTTTATCCACATGTCAATGGTCAATAAACAGGAGCTATTATGTCTGACATTTGTTCCATAAAGAAAAATAAAGATATTTTACAATTTTTCAAAGAAACTTGTCCAATAATCAGATAGACCTAGTAATTACAATGGGAAAAAAATATGAGGGAACCGACCACCTAAGCCAGGAGAAACACATTAAAGATTCCCCTTTGGATGCTCTTCATGTACTCATGTCCATATCATAAATAGAATTGTTAAGATTATCTTTTTTTTTTCTTTTACAAACACAGAAAACTAGAAGATGACAATCTTAGAGGGGAACATTGTTCAATAGAGATATGCATGTGATAAGCCATTCCCATACCATCAGGAAGAAACTTTTACATTTTGAAATTTGAAACATGCAATGGGAAAAAGATAACTACAAAGAGAACTAAATATCTTGCCTCCACTCTTCTCTGGATGGAACTGAACTGCATGCACATTTCCCCTTTTGATAGATGCTATAAAATCATTACCGTAATTGCAAGTAGATGAAATCCATATTTTGTTATCATCTGACTACCAAAAATATGAGAAGATAGGTTACCAAACAGTACAATGTATGCTTATTGAAAGTTTTTGCAACAGGCACATTACAGTGCAAGGGTAAGAAACAAATTAAGAGGTAGACAAGGAAGAGCATACTGGCATGGCACGGTATGAGTGAACAAAGTAGACATGGTGATCTCCAATGTCATCCAAAATTTCAGAGTCCTTTGCAATTTGCAAAGCATTCCAGCCAATATGGGGTACTCTAAAACCATTCGAAGAGTTAAACCGCCCAACCACACCAGGTATCAAGCCAAGACCATTCACTGAAACAAATGCACCATGGAGTCAAGTTTAAAAGTTAAAAGCTAGAAAAGAAATGAAAACATGCTACAAAGAAAACACCCAAAATTTTCTCTATTTGCAAAATGAAGACTAATTGGTTTCTCTTTTTTTCTCCTGCCGATTCCTTCTTCCTATGCTACACCTCTTCTTCAACCTATCTATAAATATTTATTTATAAAATAAGAATGAGATATAAAACACCAAAGAAATATGCTCATTGAACTATATAATATATCATAACATTTATTTGGGAAAATATTCATGACATATATTCTACAGGTGTAGAAACTTTATCAAGTCCTGATCATTAATATTATATATGTCTTTCAAAGATTTACAAAAAAAAAAAAAAAAAAAGGGAGTTATTTGAAAAATGACCTGGTCCATTCTCTTCACTAGACTCAAAAAGTAGTTGAAGTCCAAGACAAATGCCTAGAAATGGGCGATCATTTTTTATATAGGTTTGTAGTGCTTCAGCCATCCTGCAGAAAATGATAAATGAAAACTTCCAAACTGACAAATTAACTACAAAGTTAAAATTCAGAGCAAAAAAAGGGATAATTAGCTATCATTAAAACATCTATAGAAGGAAAAAATCTCAGCCAATTACAAAGTGGCATATCCTTCAAACTTTTTGTTAAATTTTATTTAGTGATGCTAAATAAATTAATATAAGTTTTTCAAGCCATTTGGCAAATCAAGATAAAGACACATGGATTGCCAAATCAAATTTGGTGTAAAAAAGGGCAAATACTGGTATTATGACAATTGAAATTATAGACCAAAATGTTGCCAATGGCTAGATCAATCTGGTATTTGTCAATTTTCTTACCAAAATTCTTAAAATAAATAAAGTAAAAAAGAAGAAGAGACAAAATTCCGAGGCTTCACAAATAGGTATCTTGGAAGTCAGGCCTAATTTTCATTACATTGCATGTGCTCATATGAACAGTAATGCAAGAAATTCTCTAATAATAATTCTTCCAAGTCCAAAACCCATGTATGCACGTTGGAGAACATCTTTCCAAAAGTAAGTTCAAATGGCAAAAAAAAAAAAAAAACCTGCTCTAAATAATTATTTTCATAAAAAAGCCATGAAAAAAGTCATACCCGGTCTTGACTAATACATCCATGGCTGAAGCAAATGCCCCAACACCAGGAAATATAAGGCGATCTGCATTCAAAATGTCTTTTGCAGTTCGCACCTACATTTCAATTCAAAAGAAATAATACATTCATTACTTACCATGCATCATTTTTCGAAAAGCAATTAAACTTAGAATGATACAAATTATCATCTTATTCTTAAAACCATGCCCCCACATACTTCAAAAAGAGGGAAAAAAAAACCTTTCTTAACAAAAACCCATATCAAATTTCTTCAGTGGGAAATAATTAGCAATGTTTTGCAATCATAAAAAAGATATACACCTCAAAAAGAGCAAAATAACTTTATTAACAAAAAACCCATATAAAATTTCATCAGAGGGAAATAACTAGCAATGTTTTGCAATCATAAAAAAGATATACACTTCAAAAAGAGCAAAAAACTTTATTAACAAAAACCCCATATCAAATTTCTTCTTTGGGAAATAATTAGCGATGTTTAGCAATCATAAAAAAGATATACTATCAAAAAGAAGTATTCTTTCTATAGAAGAACTCTGTATCTATCTGCCAAAAATTTTTGCATCTGATTCTTATATTGAAGAGGAAAGTTACAAAATTGGAATGTAAACATTTAATCAATCCGAAAAAGTCTAAAACTTTTAAATAAATAAAAATATCAATCAATTATAGAAAAAGAAAAGTAGGCTAAAATGGCTTACATCCTCTATCTCGAAACCAAGATGGCGAATCGCATTCCTTAAGCTCCGAACATTTCCAGCTCCATAATCAAGCAAGGTCACAACCGAACCTAAAAAAAAAAAACCAAAAAAAATTTAACACATTACCCTAAACCCTAAACACTGGAACCAGATTTATGAGAGAAAGTACCGGCGCTAGAACCAGATGAAGCACAGAAAATAGAATTTCTAGGAAATGTTGATTTTAGAGTATTTTGGTAAGGCTTTTGGTGGGAGGTTATGATAGAAGATGGTGATAGATCATAGAACCACAATGATTTTGTTGGGAAGCTCGCAAAGGAAGCATATGTCATCCCCTCCATTGAAGAGCAGTGCGGTTTACCAACAACTGTTTATCAATTGTTGAAGCCCAGGGGGTGGAGAACTGAAAGACTCTAGTTGATCATATCTACAACACCGTCTTCGGGGAATTTTGGAGGAAGCCGCCGTCGGAGAAGAATCCAAAACCAGCAGCGGCGGTTTTGCTATTTTTTTTAGTACGGAAATATATAGGAAATATATAGTGAGAGAGTTCTTTGAGGTTTAGGAAACAAGTAAAGGGAGAGAAGACGGAAGGAAAGTCGCCGTCAGCCGAGCTTCCGCCGCCACGACGAGAAGAGATGAAAGTGATAGTTTAGAGAAAAATAGACAGACGGCTGTTAGTGATAGGCAAACGAATAAGCGGGACTTTTAGGTTTTAATTAGATGCTCAAAAACGATGTCGCTTCCTTGGCCATTAAAAATAAAAGAGAAAAGTGGGAAAAAGGAGATAACGGGCTGCTACTAAGACCCGACCCAAAACCAATTCTCAAGCCCAATTCATCTTAGACAGACTCAGATTTATAAGCCTTTAGAACCCAAGACTAATTCCAATCTAAAAGAGAAAAGATGAGGCTGTGATTTTATATAACACAAGTAGTCTGACCTAGGGCTGTAAACGAGCCGAGCCGAGCCGAGTAGTGAGAGGCTCGAGCTCGAGCTCGACTCACAACTCGGGGTTCGATACTCGACTCGAGCTCGATCGAGTTTTATTTTTCAAGCTCGAGCTCGATTCGTGATCGAATTCGAGCTACTCGAACTCGCTCGATTAAGCTCGATTAATATGTAAAAATAAGCTCGATTCGTATACTCGACAAAAATTCGATTATTCATGCTCGAACTCGAACTCGAACTCGGACTCGAAATATTTTATTAATTAAAATAATAAAAATATATTTAAATATAAAAGCTCGATTAGGCTCGCGAGCTACTCGAGTCAGATATAATAATACTCGAATTCGGCTCGATCGATAAATCGAGCTACTCGAGCTCGAGCTCGACTCGACAATAATCGAACCGAATTCGAGTTTTTTTCGAATCGAACCCGAGTAGCTTGCGAGTACTAATGTATCATTTACACCCCTAGTCTGACCTGAGCATAGCCTCTGATTAAAAATTAAGCATGAAATTTCACGTTTTAGTACTGTATTTATTTTATATTAAACGCATATAAAATATAAATTTTTTTTGTCACAATTTATATCAATACATCAAATACAAAACATAACTTTTTTTTAAAATTTTATACGAATTTTATTAAAATTTTAAATCGAATCACTTTTTTTTTATATTATTTTCATAAATACAAAACATAACTTTTTTTAAAATTTTATACGAATTTTATTAAAATTTTAAATTGAATCACTTTTTTTTTATATTATTTTCATATTATATCATTATGTCATATATAAAATTACAATTCTATTAAAAAATGCTGTTCTTCTACAAGTAAAATTTACAAGGATGGTTATAAAAATTTTCTAACTAGTTTTGTTGCTCTATCTAAACATCTTCAATATGGTGTACAGAGAAATCAGGCTCATCTGGTTTAAACAACTTGGGCATCTTTAAACTGTTAGAAGAAGAAGAATCAATCAGATCACCCTTAGACCCTTTTCTAGTATTTGCAGCAAACTTTGATGCCAAAATTGTAGCTCCAAGGTTCTGAAAATTGTTTGGGCTATCTGTGGATGTTCTCTCAATGTTCTTGTCATAATGGAATCCATCTTCCATGTCATCAGTGTAGTAAATGCAGCTCTCTCTTGCAATCAACTCTTTTGCCATCTTCCTCTTTTTAAACCTTCTCCAGGCAGCTTGTATGAAGCATGCACCCCATGTCCTCCATTGGTGAGAATAATACCTGAAAGCATGCTGGAGCTGCTTACTTTGAAGCCGTTTGAACTGATGTGCGAAAAATTGTAGGTCATCAGCTTGGAGTGCAAAAGCTTCAACTTCAGAAACTGCTCTGACTGTCCTAGTTGAAAGGGGTAGGTTCATACTAGAGTTTGGCATTAAGGCCCATGTCAGCAATTCCTCTCCACAGAAGTCACCTGGCCTAAGGGTGATGGAGTTGAAAAACCCTGATCTTCCTCCATTGGTTGTCGAGCTCTCAAGTTGCCCTCTAATGATAAATAGCATCTCATCGACTGGATCACCTTCTCGGACAATGTAATTGCCTTTAGTAGTCAATGATGAGACAAGACGCTCGCAAATGGCATCAAGAAGCTGGTCATCCATTTGTGAGAAGAATGGAACCTAGCCAATGAAACAAGAGTTGTTCAAAAAACTAGTAATTCCAGGACTAGAAAGCAATGGGAAATACTAGGATAAGGTTCGAAGATAGACATACACGTCGAACAAGGGAAATACATAAATGGCGTTGAATTTCACGACGAAGATCTAAGGGTAATGATTGTAATATAGATTCTTCATCAACTCCTCTTGTAGTAAGCCATTTGTATTGAACAAATCGACGAACACGTTCTTGCAAATCCTCGGGTAACTGACGATGTCTCATCCACTCTTCTGTATCCCTTCTTTTAACCCTCCACTCCTCAATTCTTACTGTCATTGATTGCAAAGAAGTCTTCATGGAAAAAAGAAAACCTTATTACATCAGCTTCAGTTATTCACTACTATAAAATTACTCAAGGAGTGCAAAAATAGATGGAATGTTAGTAGGCTGAAATTGTTGGAGTTCAAATTACAACAGCTAGAATTACAAGAAGGGTTAATGTCATGGATGGTCTTAAATTAGTGAAATAATCAATGTAGCACATAAATTTTAAAAATTTTTAATGTAATATTTGAATTATAAATTCAATATCGATTATGATACTTTTAATATCGTTAACTTCCAATGGTGACATGTAACAAACAAACAGCTTCTCAAATATCCATTAATTAATAGATTCATAATTCATATATTATATCAGAGATTTTTAAAGTTTAATTACTATATTAAATATTTATTATAGTTTAAAGGCTAATGATGATATTATCAAGAATGAGAAACTAGCAAAGGTGGTAGCATAAAATACCTGCATGTTGCCAATCAATAGTGAGAATAGAATCAATCCAAAAATACATATAAAAATGCAAAACAAATTCTCCCAAATATATATGGTTGTCTCCAAATTCTGCCCATATGAACTGCAATTAAGAAATAAAATGGATACATAAGCATAAACTTGAAAGAAACAACTAATGCATAAAATGTCATACTAAAACCAAAAAATTTTCCCAACGCAATTTATATTGGACTGAATTCCATTACAAGTAGTTTCTCTTTTGGCCTGATACCTATTGATAATGCTCAAGTACTTACAAAACAAAACCAATTGGAAACATAGTTTGATTCCTACCTTCCTTTTTGTTCTTTGTAAGACTTGTGATACGTAGTGTTAGACAAAAAATTGAATGACAGAAGAGGTAAATGTCTAAATGACATAAAATTGCAGGTAGTAAAGCAAGTGATGAGACCTAATAGAAGAAATTTACTGGAAATTTATCCATTTGAACATCCAAAATTTGAGATCATACCTTAAATTTCTTATACCCCACCAAAGACAATACAAGTACTTTATAACAAAGTTCTCGGAAGCAACATCATTAGTAAAAGCATCTGCAAACATTCCAAATTTGAAATCAATATCGCTATTCCTCGCATCACAGTTAGCGAGCACATGAGTGATATTTGCCCAATATTGCCTCTCAGGGTTCGTCAAGCTATTACAATCTAGGAAACTTGGGATGCAAGCAAGAAATTTTGAGGCATTCTCTCTTGCACACTCCACCTTCCAGCAAGAAAACTGCCTTGCTATGGAACATAAATACCATATTGCTCCTAACACCTACACCAACAGTAAAGGGATAGAACCAACTGAATGGAAAGGTCTACAATAATTTATGTGGAGTAAAATTACAAGCAAAGTAGTAACAGGATGCATACGTGACTGGCCAGCAAATATAGGAGGAGATTGTATGCAGCTCCTGCCCAAGCAGTCTTGGCAACGACTCCAGTAGTTTTAATGATCTTTTGGTTAAGAGGGAAAATGATAAACAGCCTTGGAACATATTGAAGTAGAACAATGAGAGCAACAGTGTTGTTGGCATGATCAGTTCTCGAGTTTCTTGTGGCTGGAATAACTACCCAGATGACAAACTGCATGGAAAAAGTTATAAAAACTAAGCCTTAAGAAAAACAATATTATAACAAAAATCCCATTTTTTGAGCCATTTTTTTTAAACAATAACCTGAGGTAGTGGTAAGGTGGCTGCAAGATCAATGACAAAATCTGACTTCAAGTATCGCATTGCTATCTCCCTCGCATCCATGACAAGCTCACCCCTTCCAAAAATCCTAGAATTCGGCGCAATGAATCCAGTCCTAAACTTCATGAGCATGTTTAAAAGGTATAAAAGATCGGCCATAGACCTCAAAATCGTGACGATGACCCCCATGTTGGCGTCGGATTCCAAGCATGCAGGGCCTCCAACATAAGGGAGGAAGAAGTAGAGAGGGTCTATGAAGAGTGCCATAATGCAAATGACCAAGAACACATGGTTCCAATAGGAAACAATGTCGCTGTCGGGGTCCAAAATTTGGTAGCGCCATAGGAGGAGGAAGTCGGTAGGAGCATTGGGTGCGGAAGGTGGTGAAGGACGAGGCGAGGAAGGTAAGTAGCGGAATGAAGGGATTATGCTATTCATCTTCCATTGCGGATTCCGATATTACACGGATTCCGCGGTGAAAGGAAAATGATGAAAAATATATAAACAAATTAAAAAAGAAAAATGAAAGAAAAGAGAAGAAACAAAGTGGTGGGGATGGCGATGACGATGACAATGACAAAGAGGAAGAATGCAAAGGAAATTTGTTTGAAAGAGGAGAAGGAGAGGGATTGTGGATGGTGAAAGAGAAACTGGTTAAGGAAAGAGGAGAGATTTGCGGGAATCCAAAGAAAATGCATGGAGATCGGAGGTTTACTTAAGGGTGGTAGAGCAAGAAGTGTAAATGGGGAAGGTTGGTATTTGTGGAGATATTTTCTTTCTGCTTGGTTGCCTAGAAAATTATTTTTGAGAAATGGACATTGACTAACCAAATGCAATGATTTTGGATCCACCACTCAGAAATTAGATTGGTTAAAGTATTAACTAATTAAGAAGTTTGAAACAGGAAAAGATACATAAAAATAAGAGAACACCAATAATAGTTGTGGTTCAGGACAATTCCCTACGTTTAGTATTTGAAAGAGCACCAATAATCTTATTTGATCCGTTCGATATTATGATTAGTATCAATGACTCATAAGAGGATATCAATTCCAATTAGTTGTAATCTTCACTACAACTATCATAAATAAAATGTTTATTTTATGATTATAGAGAACTATAACCAATGAACCTTCATTTATATTCAAATAAATAAAGAAGCATTAAATAAAACACATAAATTTTATTTAATTTATCAAACTGAAAATATTATTTACAATTAGCACAATCCTAAGGCAAACCTTCAAGGAAAGAACATGGGCATTAAGAAGAATCCACATGCATCTGCTTAGATATGATGAGAACATTAATGTTACATACTCTTGTTTCCCTTCCAGGAGGACCAGGACTGAGATCACAATCCCCATTTTCCAAATGGCAGTCCACTCCATGTACTTTGCTAAAGAGATAGAAAGAGCACAAAAAATACCAACATGAACAAAACATCTGTTGATGTGATTTATTTGTATGTTGCAAAGGACAGCAGTTCAAGTAAGATGAGAAAAGCTAAAGAAAGAGAGCAGATAGATGTGATTAGAGGCCCTTTGAATCCTGTTTCCTTTACAGGTCTGCAAAATATGTCCTGATGGAATTTTCTCCGTCATAGATTATTGATGCCATATCCACAGTTGAAATAGTGTTGAAGAGGTCTAGGAAATGGAGGGTTCTCACAAATAAAAAAACCAGTAGGACATATATATGAGAAACCTTCCCTAACAAGTTCCCAATGTCCAGTAGTCTTTCATAATCATCACCAAATATTCTGAAAGGATGATCGGCTTTTTGTTGTAAAATTTTCCAGCTTCAACCGGTGTATGCTGAAGGATAATTTCATTACCAGGAAAAAGCAAAAGAGAGGGAAATGAGGAAGGTGAACAAAAATGAAGTTGGGTTTTTTGAAGGAGAGTTTCAAAGATTAATTCTTTGATTATTGAAAGAATCCTAGTCTCTCTTTCGTCATCTTCCACTCCTAAATTCTTTAGCCTCAGGATTCCAGATGAAGGTCCAAAGTATTCCTTTGCAGGAGATTGACTTTGCCAGTTACCACGGTTTGTCATATCCTGGTGGATCGTGCATGTAAATGCTGGTGAGTTTGGTTTTGTTGACTATCGATTCTTGACAGTTGACTTTTGACCCATATACAACCTCTTGGCTGTGCTTAAAGAGCTGGAGACTTGCCTTAAATCGAACTTCCTTGATGGCTCATTTATAAATGAGTGAAAAAGTTGGCAGACCACTTCATGGCTGAATACAAACGTTGGTTCATTGTACAGGCCCATGTTATCCATTCTGATTACCTTGATTTTACATGGCTTTTTGGAATTTCAACGTTATTGGCCCATTGCATTGCACCAGGCTAGCAAGCCAGGTAGCCTGCTAGAATAACTTTGAGCCTTTTGGAGATCTACTCAAGGAAACTTTGGGAGTTGTAGAAGGTGGAACAGGAAAATGGGTAATCTAATGTCCTATATCAAATTTCTTTATTTTTTTAAAGATGAAGCTGTGATGATTTAAATCTTGATTATTGAAATTAAAATTTTAATAATTTTATCAATAATTTATGCGGCTGTTGATATTTCTTTGATTTTTCAGTTCGGTTGGAAAGAAATTACAAAATTTTGATGAGATATGTAGGATTCTAAATAAAACCTGCAATTCTCAATTAATTTGGATTCCATGGGTCCATTCCCCATTCTGTACATTATGGAGCAAGAAGAAATAAATTTTAGGAAAGTGGGGTTCCAAGGGGACCATGCAACCCAAATTTTCTAGATTGTGTCAATATCTAAAGGCTTCTCATGTGCCAAAAGTTTGTTACAAAATTAAAAATTATATGATTAAATTGCCATGCATAATATCCAATGGCTTCTCATGTGCCAAAACTTTTCCATCATGGAGCAAGAAGTAACAAATATGATTAAATAATTAAATTGTCATGCATTTGCTTAATAATTCGAAGTCCGAAGCCTGCAGAATGTTAGAAGAGTAAAGCATGAATAAAGCAGGCAATCTTCCCTGAGCTGATCCTATAATGGCATTTCAAAACTTCCTCTTGTTTAAAAGCATCTGATTCTACATGCAGATTTATGGATTGTTTCAGAGATAATTCCTTCAATTATTCCGACTGCCAAAGGTAGATATTAGAAAGTGATTGAACTTTTTCATTGAATTTTGTTTTTTTATATAAAAAGTGCCACATTTGCGAGTAGAAAAAGAGATTCTGATACTGAAATTTGAATCTAAACCTGTTAAATACCAATTTTAAGAGTAGTTGTATGAAGATACAGCACAAATTGGCCGACAAATATAAATCCACTTTCCTTCCTAAAATATAAAGGTAGTTAAGCTAATTCTGAAATACCCTTTTGATCAGATAGAGTTTTTCTTTATCTGACAGAAGCCTTTATTCTCATCTCGTGATTCAAAATCAACTGTTATATACAAGAACAAATTGCTTATCCTAGAGCTTCTTAAAGTAAAACAAAGCCTTGGCTTCATTGTAAGGAGCTTAATTTTTTAGGTGAAGGTGGAAAATGGAATAGTCTGCTACAATCAGCATGTTATCTCATTATTTACTCTATTTGGCAGGACTTCCTTTCTTAGACTAGTCAACCTGAAAAAAGACCATTACTAAAAGTCCCCTGTAAGACATACATCATCATGCCTATGGATTCAACCAAGCCTGAAGCACTTGCTAATATTTCAATATTACAGTAGTTGACATATACTACAATATTGATACATTTTCTGGTTGACTGTCACCATTGAAATGTGATCAAATCATCACCTTCATCTCCTTTTGGATGATTTTTGACGATGAATATAACACTTTGATTTCCCAAAATTTTAACTGTAATTGCATTGTTCTTATATTATTTTTATCATGTTTGGTTCCTTTGTCACATTAGCTTAGTCTTTTTACTAGTGCGCTTTTATCTGTCTCCCTGTACTCCTGGCTTGCTAGTATTTTCTGTTTGTGGGTGACATGTGCTCCATTGAGCATTCTGTCATGGAATCATGGTTTGATAAAAATATCCCAGACAAGTGGATTTGAGATTTCATTCAACAATATTTTTACAACTTAACTTGAAGCAATCAACAGCAATGTTTCATTACAGGAAATCTTTTTAAAAATGCAAAAAGTAGTGACTCAAATGCAAATAATATCCTGCTTCTTTAATTCAGGAACAAAACTAGCTTACAGTTCACAGCAGATTCAGCAAAACTGTTTTTTTTTCTTTTTTTTTGCAATTTGGGCAAGTAATAGGTTACTAAGGTTGGTTTCTGCTTATGTGCTTAATATTCTGTTTCCTCAGAGTTTATTGATTCTGCAGATGTTGAAGTCCCAGCTGCTCGTGGCATACAGATATTCCTGTTCGCCCTCCAATATTATGGGAACAAATAACATGGCTTTTATGCATCAGTGCAATTGGGGTTATAATATTTTTTATTGGAATCCCTTTGTCTACCAAGCACTCTTTCCATATTACATGTATAAGTTTTTGAACTAGACCCAAAATGTCACTGGCTGGGATCCTGCTTTTAATTACAGGTACAACAGTGTGTAAACTGTACTATCTCTTTTGGCATTGACTGGACAGTCATTTGTTTCCTTGTTTTAATGTTTCTCTTCTCATTGTTTCAGGCTCAGAAGCTATGTTTGCTGATCTTGGACATATTTCTCAGTTGTCTATCAAGGTAATTTGCTCCTATTCTGCATAAATACATAATTTCGTCGCGTAAATGCATTGTTGATCGACAACTTTTAGGTTAAGGATGAAGAATAGAATCTACTTCCTAAACATTCAATTGTTTCCCAAATGCATCTACAGTATTTGGTGCAGTGACTGTAACAATTATCTTGTTAGGGACATTTTTAGGTGAAAGGGTATAATTATCTTTTATTATAACAGAATGGCTCATGATGGGATTATGGTTATTGGTCATCTGGTCTGAGCTAACATGATGAGCTGAATTGACGTGACAGACTGACCTGAGCACACCAAACCCATCCCAGCCTGGCAAGTCAACAATCGTCAGATATAAATACCCTTCCCTCCTTCTAGATAAAGGAGCCAATTCTTCTTTGAACTCTATTATTTTTATCAATGAACTCTTCTCCTTTTCATTTACTTCAACAACTTAGAGCATCAGACCACAAACGTCAAAAACAGTACAAGAGATTAACTCAATTGGTTTATGCAACACCTTTAAAAGATGATAGCAGGTCTAAGGTTCGAATACTAACACCTACAATTCTTTCCCTTATACCAAAATGCGACCCCCTTTGTAAGAAAAAAAATTTTTTTTTTCATGTTTGTACGCTGACTTGACTCAGTTATGATCATTTGCAGTTCATGATAAATTACCTTACTAGTAGAAATGGTGACAATGTCATTTCCCTAACTAATTAAATGCAACTTCCCGGGAAATTGCTT